GATCACAACTTGATTTTGATACCATTTTCAATGAAACAGAGGGAAAATCGTTGTAGCTGAGAACTATCGAACAATAATAGTTAAAATTTTCCAAATCATTTTGAGCCACTGCAATAATTTGTGTGGAGAAATAAAATTTGTTTAAATCTCGAGTTCATCGAGCAGATGCGCAACAATTGAAATAGTCAATCAGCAATACCCTGATGGTAAATCAAAAGTTTTTAACAAAAATACCTGCGACCTCGTGACACTTTCATGGCAATCTTTCACTGGACATTCGCTAGGACCACAACTCCTTGAAGAAACGATGGAAATGTCTTTTAATCATCTTGTGAAATTTTGGGAACAGTACCCTGCCCTTGATAGTTAATAATACCAGTATTAAAAAAATCGTCCTCTCCTTCGTGAAACAAACCCATTAACTCGTCACGGTCTATGCGCTATGCGCCAAGGTCCAGAGGCTCGGTCCAGGGGCTCGTTCCAGGATCTCTCGTCTGTATCCTAACAGAGTGTGACAGAAGTCAGTGGGACGACAGTGGGACAGTCGTAGCCATGTCGGTGCCTTCGATCCAGAATGCATCAACCAAACCACGATTGCCATTTCGCGCAGCTATTTCTGCGTAGTTTTACAATAAATCGCTATGAAACTCAAATAGATTTAAGGCGTATAGTTAAATTAGCTGATTTAAGAACGTTTTAAAATCGTTTACAGACTTTCTACTTTCAAATTTTTTTCAATAAAACTTCATAGTGCTATACATCCTCGGAGACCTAGGGGCTGTGAGTCGATTTCAAGTTAAGAGCAGAAGAGCCCCTGGCGACATTGTCTTACAAGACTAGTTCCAAACGGTCGCAGTCGTTCTGACATCTGATTGGTGCCAGAAAATCTTTGTGTTTTTCTGCCCAATCAGAGTGAAGTGTCCTTTCGTGTGTTTTAACACGCACATATCCAACAAGCTCTGTTGCTGGCTACGTTTGTTTGGGCCGTGCGACGAAGCTTTGCCCGAGGTGAAAATTTTCAGGCTCTGCACACAATGTAAGAGAAATCGGTCAGATTGTCCGCGAAATCTTATCGGAAATTATACTGAATACTTTCGCAGGTATCACAAGAGAACGTGTTTAAAAGTTTGCGAGGTTCGTATAAAACAGAATGGTTGTAGGCATTGATATGTCGCTTTAAACGTTAGATGAGATGTAAGCTTAAATCTTTTTAGATTTTTTGTACAATTTGTTGCGACTGAAACTTTTCCAATCCCGTGAAGTTATTTCGTCGCACGGGCCACGCAGGTATGTCAAGCAACTGGCGCTTACGCTTACGTAGCTT